CAAATGTTACACAAATATTACTTTATTTAGTTTGTTCATCCTATGAAGGAGATGCCATTTTCTCATTTTTTAAATTTTTTTTTTTTTTTTTTTTTAGCTGAGCCATCTGCCACCTATTGGCAGCTCAGTGGCTGTTCAGCTCGGGCCGGGACTCGAACCGCTGTTGCTCAGAGCTTATTCATTTTTAAAATTTTTTATTAAAGTTTATTAGGGTAACAATTGTTAGCAAAGTTACATAGATTTAAGGTGTACAATTCTGTAATACATCACCTATATGTTACATTGTGTGTTCACCACCCAGAGTCAGTTCTTTTTCCATCACCATATATTTTATCCCCTTTACCCTCATCTACAACCCCCTCCCCCCTAGCCCTCTGGTAACCACTAAACTATTGTCTGTGTCCATGAGTTTTGTTTCTTCATTTGTTTGGTTTTTTTGTTCTTTTGTTGTTTTCAGTTTTATATACAACATATCAGTGAAATCATATGGTTCTATACTTTTTCTATCTTATTTCGCTTAGCATTATAGTCTCAAGATCCTTCCATGCTGTTGCAAATGGCACTATTTCATCTTTTCTTATGGCAGAATAGTAATCCATTGTGTATATATACCACAACTTCTTTATCCAGTCATCTATCAAAGGACACTTTGGTTGTTTCCATGTCTTGGCCACTGTAAATAAAGCTGCAATGAATATCAGAGCACATATATCTTTACAGATAAATGTTTTCAGGTTTTTTGGGTAGATACCCAAGAGGGGGATTGCTGGGTCATATGGTAATTCCATTCTTAATTTTTTGAGGAAACTCCACACTGCCTTCCATAGCAGCTGCACCAACCTGCATTCCCACCAACAGTGTATGAGGGTTCCTTTTTCTCCACAGCCTCTCCAACACTTGCTATTATTTGTCTTGTTGATGATAGCCATTCTAACCGGTGTGAGGTGATATCTCATTGTGGCTTTGATTTGCATTTCTCTGATGATTAGTGATGTTGAGCATTTTTTCATGTGTCTATTGGCCATCTGTATGACCTCTTTGGAGAAATGTCTATTCAGGTCCTCTGCCCATTTTTTATTTGGATTGTTTTTTTGTTGTTGTTGTTGAGTTGTATGAGTTCCTTATATATTGGGTTGTCGGAAAAGTCATGACGTATTTTTCTATGTTTTTCATTGCAAAAATGCGTCATGACTTTTCCAACAACCCAATATTTTGTATAATAGTCCTTTATTGGAGGTGTTGTTTGCAAAAATCTTCTCCCACTTGGTTGCTTGCCTCTTTATTTTGTCAGTGGTTTCTTTTGCTGTGCATAAGCTTTTTAGTTTGGTATAGTCCCATTCATTTATTTTAGCTTTTACTTCCCTTGCCTTTGAGGTCAAATTCATAAAATCCTCTTTGAACCCAAGGTCCATAAGTTTAGTACCTATGTTTTCTTCTATGCAGTTGATTGTTTCAGGTCTTGTATTTAGGTCTTTGATCCATTTTGAGTTGATTTTGGTACATGATGACAGATAGCAGTCTAGTTTCATTCTTTTGCATGTCACTTTCCAATTCTCCCAGCACTATTTATTGAAGAGGCTTTCTTTTCTCCATTGTATGTCTTTGTGGCTTCTATGTCGAAAATTATCTGTCCATATTTATGTGGGTTTATTTCTGGATTCTCAGTTCTATTCCATTGTTCTATGTGTCTGTTTTTCTGCCAATATGTTACTGTTTTGATTATTGTTGCCCTGTAGTACAAGCTAAAGTTGGGGAGTGTGATACCTCTAGCATTGTTCTCTTTTCTTAGGATGGCTTTTGCTAGTCAGAGTCTTTTGTAGTTCCATACAAACCTGATGACTTTTTGTTCTATTTCTTTAAAAAATGCCGTTGGGATTTTGATGGGAATTGCATTAAATCTGTATATTGCTTTGCGTAATATGGTCATTTTAACTATCTTGATTCTGCAATCCATGAACACGGAATGTTATTCTCATTTTTTTAAATGTGAAATCTGGATTTCATGTTGGTTGGGACCAAACTAATTTTTTTATTTTTTGATGGTTTTATTTTAGGATATGATGAAGGCTATAAATTCGGGAAACAAGGTTATTTATTTAGTTTCATTCTTTGAAGGCTTACAACGCATTATTTTATTCACTGAAGATCCAAAGGTATTTAAAGTGACATATGAAAGTGAAAAAGCAGAGTTAGCAGAGCAAGAAATTGTGTTGGCATTACAAGATGTTGGAATTTCTCTCGTCAATAATTACACAAAGCAAGAAGTAGCCTATATTGGCATTACAAGGTTAGATGCATTAAAATTTGGATAAATTTAAATGCTAGTTCTTAATTATCAAGAATGGTGATTGTAAAATCTAAAATAATTTAGTTTAACACTTGTGTTTTGACTGTTCATTGATACGAAGGCAATGCTAATTTAAAGGTGCTTGTGAGATTTTTTTTTGCCCTTTCAGATAAAAATATATCAAAAATCAAATTTATAAATCCCGCTTTATGTTGTTTATTTTCTCATCTCTCTAAAAAGTTAGAATATAGAATATTCAACTTAACAAACATATACTTTATTTACTTAACATGACATAAGGGAATGTTTAATTGTGTATTACCACTTACACAGTGCAGGTTACATTGTAGATGCTCCATAAATTGTGGTTGAAGGACTAAAGACAATTCTGATTTGATTTTGACACTTTCAGATCTAATAAGATAGTACTATATTTATCATTCCCCATGTACGTCATCACTAGTAAAACTGTTTTCCCCTATGCCCTTCCTCTTTCTATTCATGAATGCTTAAAGTAAACTTAATTTATATATATTAGTGCCTAATTTGAGAGTATTTCTGGATTCCACTCTGTATAACCAGGATAATGTAGTTTTAATCCTTTATTTGACTTAAACTCTTAAATAAATGTATACCAGGTGTGACAATTCAGTTCATGAACTTTTTGCAATGATGTTGCTGACCTTTTTTGGTATCACAGGGATTATTCATTATGAATTTGTACCAACTCGACAGTTAACCAAGTTTTATAATTTGAAAGTGCTGAACAGCTTGCGTGAAGAAGTTAGATGAGGGCCGGCCGAGTGGCGCGATGGTTAAGAACTGGCTTGGGATGCCAGAGGGCCCCGGTTCGGATCCCACATATGAGGGCTGGTGACTGTCCTCTGCAGCTAAGATGGTGAACAACAGCTTGACCTTGAGCTGGGCTGCCGTGGGTCGCCGGCGGCAGTGTAGGCTGCAGCCCCTGCCGCNTGTCACTGGCCCTCATATGTGGGATCCGAACCGGGGCCCTCTGGCGTCCCAAGCCAGTTCTTAACCATTGCGCCACTTGGCCGGCCCTCAGTTTACTCTTGATCAGAACTATCTCAAATCTCAATTAATGGACTCAGAATGAATGAAGTATTATTTTGGGTACTTTATATGTTCATATACTTGCATTTAATGCATATTTTTTAAATTTATGTCAGTTCTCTTAGTGAAATAGAAGATTCCCTCCCTTCTGGAAAAGCAGTATTTTATACGTGGGCTGATCCTGTGGGCTCTAGAAAACTGAAGTGGATTTGTGGAGAAGACCACGGTGAAGTAACACAAAAGGATGTATGTACTGGACTAATTATTTTCGTGTTCTCAGCAGTTTTTTTAAAAATCACGATATTCTCTTTCAGCCCTGTTGGCTTTCAGTCTAAACTTCTAAAAATACTGCCAAAGATTTTTAAAAGCAGTGTTCAAACTTAACCAAAAATGTTTAAAACCAGAAGTAATCTTATTTTGTCTACATCATCACTTGCTTCCATTGCGTTATAAGTGTAAATTGTGTTTAGGAGGTGCTTCCAGCATTCACCTCAAAAACAGATACATGCTCTTCATTGACAGTTATCTTAGGTTATTTTCACTTCTGTGAGGAACATTTTGAGATCTACTAGCTAAAGAATATATTTCTGGTGGCAAGCTATTGTTGATTTTTAAAAAAAATAATGATAAAGTTATGTATAACCGTTTCCAGTACTAGTTTTAAATGGCTTTCAGAAATTGTTTTATTAAAATTTCCTTATTCTTTCAAAATACATCTTAATTTGACCCCTATTCCACTGTATTTTTCTCACTACTAGTTATTATTTCTTCCTGTCAATACGCATTTTAGAGGAGAAATGAACATTCCATTTTTAAATATATTTTACTGTAGGTTTTTTGTAAAACTAAATACCCTGTAACATTAAGGCAGTTGTCTTCTATTCTTTGTAAAAATGCTGTTTGTGTCTGTGTATGTATAAATGAATGAGTATTGAATTTTTATCAATTTCTATGCTTTTTTTAATCTGTTGAGATGATTATATGATACTTGGTCTTTTATTGGGAGGATAAATTATGTAGTTGGTTTCAATATTAGAACAATCTTGTGTTTTTGGAATTGGCTTGCTAATGTTTTAAGCTTTTGCTTGTATTCATGAGAGAAGTTGGTCTGAAACATGCCTACACTGAGTATTCTTACCAGATTTTGATATTAAGGTTATGCAGATGTCTAAAACATGTTGGGAGATACTTAACAATTTTTCTGTTATTGGGAAGTGCTTATGTAAGATTGGTATGATTCCTTCCTTGAATGTTTCCTAGAATTCACCAATGAAGCCATGCTATCTTAGACTGTAGTTGTGTATACACATATACATATACATACATACATACATACATACATACATACACATACGTACATACCTGTATATGTATAGATATAGTCCATCTTTTGTTCTTAGCAAGAGAGTTGGTGCAAGACCACCTAGTCATCAACTGCTAGAGCGGAAACTCAAAGTATCTTTTTAAAATTGAACTTGTTAGCATATGGGAATGTAATGGCATTTTGTGTATTGACTTTATATCCAGAAAATTTACTGAATTCTATTACTAATATTGATAATTTGGTTTTTATTTTTCTATATGGACAATCATCACCCATATAAATAATGTGAATCTCTGTTGATGGTGAAATTTAGTAGTTTTTATTTGTCTTTAGGCATCGTTATTTTGTATACTTTTCTTCACTGAAGGATATTTTTGCTGAGGAAGGAATTCTGGGTATAGAGTTACTTTGTCTTAGTATATTGATGGTCTTTTCCTGCTGTATTATTCCAGTGTTGCTGTTGTGGAGTCTAGTATAGGTATATTTTTAAAAAATGTATCTGAGAGGGCTGCCTATAACTGGCCTAACTTTAATTTTTCTTATTCCTGATTATTAGATTTGTTCAGGAAAAAAGATTTTAACATAAAAATAATGTTATATTTCATCTGTTTAGTACTTTTGCATATATATGTCGTAATCATAGTTGAGTTTTCTAAAGATAAATCTGAAATCCACTACAGAATATTAGAAAGTCTTCCAAAATATTTGAAAATAAGTTAGTTTTCTTATTTCTCAATATAAAGTATTATAAGTAACATGATTTTTCCTAGATAGTTGTTTTATGGTAAGAATACAGTTTTTAATTTCATTAGATTATAACATGAATGTATACTATATATTAAAATTTCTTGTTAATCAGAATATTTACTTAACTAGAAATTCATGGCTGACATTTAATTATTAGAATTTGCTATATTTATCTTGTCATTGAACCTCAAGACCCTGCTATCAGCACAATACTTACATATAAGGGCTACCTGCAGAATTATTCACCTGTGGTGAATATCCATGTTTTGTAGAGCACGCAATTGAAGTGTCAGATACTTTTTATCCTTTAATTCATCTCTGTAAGGAAATACGAATTTCCGACTGAACAACTTAACACATGACTCATTGTTTAGTCTTAGAATAAAGGAGAGAAAATAATACTTTGTGTTATTGATAAGCCTACAAAGGAAGACTATTTAATTAGATTTTGTCAAGATGTTAAATGAAGGAACAATTGACCTGTGTTACTAATTAATAACCTTATGATAATAATGGAAGATGCTAACATCAAATGATTCTAATTATGTAAATTTCCAAATGTTACACAAATATTACTTTATTTAGTTTGTTCATCCTATGAAGGAGATGCCATTTTCTCATTTTTTAAATTTTTTTTTTTTTTTTTTTAGCTGAGCCTTTCTGCCACCTGTTGGCAGCTCAGCTCTGGCCGGGCATCAAACTGCTGTTGCTCAGAGCTCAAACTCTTGAACGAGCTCTTAACCAACTGAGCCACTTGGCCGGCCCTATACACCCAGTTTTTTATTGCACCTTTGCATAGGTAGATTAAAGCCTTTGTCATATTTGTATTGTCTTTTTCTTGTGCGGTTAAGACATGTGCACACACACAGCATTCTGAGGACTGGGTTGGTTTTTATTTTATCTGATCAACATGTATATTTGATATTTTTTCATGAAAAATATAAGGACTATAGGGCTTTTATCTCCTCTGCTTTCCCTTCTCTTGGCTTTTTTGTTGTTAATATGGTTGTTAATTATTTCCTGAATAGAAAAATTAGCTGTCAATTCTTAAAAATTCTATAGAAAAACTATGAATAGAACACTAATTCCTGGAATCCCAACATTGTCAAATTTTGATGCATTTCTTTTTGTACTGTTTTACTGTTCTGTCTAGCCAGCTATCTTTCCTTTTTGTTTGTTTTGTTTTAGCTGAACCATCCTGCCACCTGTTGGCAGCTCAGCGGCAGCTCAGCTCGGGCCGGGAATCGAACCTGTGACCCTGTTGCTCAGAGCTCGCACTCTTGAGCGAGCTCTTAACCAACTGAGCCACTCGGCCGGCCCTAGCCTGCTATCTTTCTGAATCTCTTGTATTTAATAGCTGTTGTGAACATGTAAATTTGCTTTAAAAACAATTTTTAATGAATGCATGATTTTCCATCTTTTAGAATCACTACAATTAAATGCTGTATTGTTGAGAATTTTGTTTATTTCCAATTTTATAACCTTAGAATCTGTTTATCTTTTAATAAAGATCGTTAGCTCATTTGTAATCATTATAATAACTAATTTATGATTCCTTGCTATATTATTTTTGTAATATGGATTTTTTTTCTAACAATGATTTGGAAAATACACGTTCTGTTTCTGTTCTAGATAATTACTTTTTTGTTCTTGAAAATTTTGGTGCATTTCAAATTTTGAGAGTGAAACACCATTTGCTAACTTACCCATGAAAAATTTGGAATACTTGTACATTTTCTTCAGCGTCTCTTTCCAAATTCCTGGTTTCCTATGAATATACCTTGGGATTTTTTTTTTTTTACTCAGATTAATAGAAAATGGTTATTTTTTTCAAAAATATGTTTAATCAAGGCTTTCT